TCCTGATTTTTGGGTCTTTCTGATATAGGCTCCTATTACCCCCCACCTCCTGTCCCGATTTTTCACATTTGCTGTCTGATCACCCTAACTAGCACCATTTACATCGGGAGTTCCAATGGCATAGCTACATCTCTTGGGTGTAGATTTTTCACACTTGAGAACTATGCCAATGTTTGTTCCCAGTACAGACCAGGCCCCAGGATTACAGGGATAGAGGCTAATTTCTGACACTGGCTGTTTGTGAGGGGTAACAGTACAGCACTGCACCTGTATTCTAAGAATCAGTCCCCGATGCATAAGATTAGTGCTGGAAATGGTTCTTATTCATCTAAACCAATAGCAACATGTTGTTCTTCCCACAATAGGAAAGAAAAACTCCAGAGGCTAAAGGGTTAACTAGAGTGAGTTCTATCCAGTTCAGAATGGGGATACTTTAGGTTTTCATTCTCACTGCGCCCCATTCTGCAGTGCTGGAGTCTGGGACACAAGCAGTCTCATCTTCCCCCACACATCACACACAAAATTTGGTTCTTTTAGAAATACTTACACTAGATCCACAGGACCAGATATTAAACTCTTGTGTGAAACTAATAACTGAAAGTGCAACTGTGTCATATTCTCAAAGTCTGACCATGCTCTTTTAGGAATGAAGGGTTACCAGAATGGCTCAGATCTTTGGTGTGATATTCTGCCTCCAACAGCAGCTTACAGCTGAGACTTCACCGGGCCAACTATGCGGTGCTGCTCATGGAATAATTCTAAACACAGCAATTCCTTCCTGCCCCTCACACCTGCTCGGTTTGTGCCTAGATTTCATTTCCCCTTATTTGGCTTTTGAAAATAAATGGTCCATGTTTCAAGTGAGACCATCTGAGCAAAAGCTACACTCAAGGCAGGGCCACAACTCTGCACAAGGTAACAAGAATTTCTTACCCTGTATAAGCTTATAACTGAAATGGAAGCTCTGTCTCTCACAACAGCAACTGCCATTTTACCAATGAGTGACACTGCTTATGACAGCATCGATATGTGGAAGGAAAGTCACAGCTGAGTAACCTGTTTCCATCTGGGCTTAATAGTCAAATGAAATGTGCTGCTTAACATTTAGATCAATGGTTTAAACTACAACACTGTCCAAACTGGAGCCAAAAAAGGATAGGAAGTAACTTACATTTCTCCATTACAGGCCACTAAAGCCACCACATTTTCATTTAAAGCTCCCATTTCACATACAGTTTATCCAGGCTGAGATGCTCATCATGGCCCCCCACTCAAAGGAAACAAGGGCAGCAATGTGTAAATGGGGTGTACTGCTCAGACACACAGGAACTGGCGGACTCTACTTCTCTCCTCCAACAGAAGACAGAAATGGGAGAAGGAAGCAGAACTTCAGAGCCCATCCACAAATGCATTCTGTTGGCAATCACTCCACTACTAGCACACCTCCTCCGAACTCAGCAAGATTAACCTCAACAAGCAGAGTGACCAGGCCAGACTCACCGCTGCTGCAGCAATGCCTGCAGTCTGTGCTGCAATGGCAGTGGCCTTCTTGGCATTTCTGAATCCTTCTGTGCCACAGGACGTATGGGCAAATGGCAAGTTCTCAGGACTGATGACCTGGATGTGGGTGCTGGGGATGAGAAAAAGGGGGGTAGGAAGCCATAAGAAAGTAATTCTCCAATCTTTTCTTGCTCTGATTATCTTCAAGGCCACCCAGAAGGCCCCACCCAATACCTCTACACTACTGCACTCTAGGCCAGTGATTCTCAACCAGGGATACGCAGAGGTCTTCCAGGGGGTACATCAACTCATCTAGATATTTGCCTAGTTTTACAACAGACTATATAAAGGCTAGCGAAGTCAGTACAAACTACAATTTTAAACAGACAATGACTCGTTTATACTGGTCTATAGACTATACATTGAAATGTAAGTACAATATTTATATTCTCATTGATTTATTTTATAATTATATGGTAAAAATGAGAAAGTTAGCAATTTTTCAGTAATAATGTACTGGGACGCTTTTGTATTTTTATGCCTGAGTGTGTGAGCAAGTAGTTTTTAAGCAAGGAGAATCTTGCAGGTACGCAAGACAAATCAAACTCCTGAAAAGGGTACAGTAGTTTGGAAAGGTTGAAAGCCACTGCTCTAGGCAACAATAGAAGGCTCTGCAGCAGCCCTGGTTTGTCTTAAGGGTGATGCTAGAGTGGCAGAATGAGAGAGTACTGTCTTTTGGGGTAATATACACCTGCCAGAAATTGCTCAAATTTCCAGACCCACTTTCCCACTGCGTATGATTCACCACCTCTGCTTATTTTAAAATGTACAGAACACCTTTGTTAAGCTTCAGAGACCTTCACAGAATTATAAATTATGTCTCATTGGGGGACACCACTGAAATGCAACCACCTCTGGTGAACAACACGGCAGCTGTTCAACAGCTGAACAGCAATATTGCAACAATGTAGGACAGGAAATGATCAGATTCCTGTATCCTGTTAAAACTGCCTGTGGAATATAGGGGGGACAAGATGTAATTACCCATACCTGAATTTGGTCAAAACATGCAATCAACAGCTTTACTCTTGTGAAAGGCACTATGTGTTAATGGCCTTGGTCTTACATTTCCCATTACAGTTGGCACCTCCAGCACTGCACTGAACTATTGCTTCAGTACTGACTCATAAGAAAGAGTGCCGTCTCCTGAGTCACTACTTCCAACACTACTTCCCAGCCTTTTCCATAGAGACCTCCCATCTAGCCAAGATCAGGGCCCAGTTGCTTAGCTTGGGTGTTCTCAGCATAAAGCGGTACTGCTGCAGGCCCTTTTACATGGGACCTGTATACCAAGAAGTTTGTGTCTTACTTGTTGTACGTAGCTTTGATGTGAGCTATTGGGATATCTTCATATTTCTTTCCACCCCAAGTTAAGGAACTTTCTTGTCCTGGTACTGGGGGGAAAAGGCTGAAAAGTAAAATAAGAGGAATCAAATACTTGCAATATCACGCAATGCTAATTTTTAATACAGTCTTGGAATTTGGGAAAAATGTGGATTAAATGCTGCCAAACGAAGCTCAGAACTTCTTATATAAACTGTGTTTGCGATTGTTTCACGTCACTTGTTTCCCTTACTTTCCTGAAAGATGCTTGAGGTGATTTACCCCCCTGATGGGAGACAGATGAAGAGACTTTACACCACAGCTTGGTTTGGAGCCATACAGGATGCCTCACCTGAAGTCACTCTTGCTTTGGTTTGCTATCACCTCAGGTGCAACACTGGTATTCTCCATTTGTTCCTGCAACCTCTGGAAACCTGTGTGTATGTCACGACACAATGCAACATTGTAACCACTAGGTGAAAGAAGTGGGAGAAATAGATTAGGATTTCACAGCTACACAATAGTCTTTTACATTATCTTTTGCCACCTCACATAAGACCTCCCATAGTATATTTTCGCACAGGAAACAACCAAAGCTATTTGCTAACTGCAGGACTATCTCAAGCAGTCAACATCACCCTCACGGTTCCCCAGTCACCTTGAGGAATCAAGTAGTAACCACCCCAGGAACATCACTTTTTCAAAGGGACATTGTCAGGTGTCCACATTCCAGTTTTTTATAAAAACAAACAGTTGGGCAAAACTGAGGACTGTTTTCACAATAAAAATAAACTCAGACAGCATGCTGGCAGTGCACAAGAAACAGAAATGGAAAGGGACTAGGCTAAGTTCACTGGCCAGGAGCTAGGGAGGAGCAAAAGCAAACAAACACTGAAATGAGCACTGAAAGGTATTTTGTTATAATCCTTTTAGTGGGACAGAGGAGGGGATTTTACGTTTCTGTCAAAATACAAACAAAATTAGACAACATCCATTCTGAAGAGAGACTTAACTGGGAGCACGTTTGAAAATAAGACTGTTCATCAATAAAACAGTAGTCTTGCCCAATCATTTCCTGCCAAGCCTATGCTATACCCTAAGAGCCTCAACCTCAAGCCCTGGATTTCTCTATTGGTCTTAGATTCTGCACAAGTTGATCTGTTGACATGGAAACAGCAGCAACAACACACAGTATGATCTTATTACAGGTGGAGTTGGGAAGGAGGGTGCTTGTTAAACATATGTAGCTTTAATAATTGAGCTAGTTCTACCCAAAACAATCTCTTCCTATCCAGCAGAGACCTTCCCCGTGTGTATCAATCAGAATTGCTGACTTCAGTAGCTACCTATGTTTCATTAGTTGGAAAGTGAACCGGTTTCTGTCTATTGCACCTCATGCTTCGTCTACACAAGGGTGAACGGAGTTGCAATGACAGGGCCCAAAGCCTGTATACAGGAGCAGAACATGAAGACGGTGTGATTGCACAGGTATCCCCGGGGAACAGAACCTTTATTACCGGTGACCATACCCAGCCAGAGGGAGGCTAGCCCGAGTCCGCAGGGCTGGGGGGCAGAACAAATGTTTTCATTTGCGCTCTGCGCCATCTGGCTCCGGAATCAGGAAAGATGAGAACAGCGAAAGAGCCCCACAGCGCCCCTTTGGCGGAGTCACTGCTTGGGGCAGGGGCAGCCTGAACCCACAATGCAGCCCACCCCCAGGGCGCTGCGGCCAGCCCAGCGCTGGGACCCCAACACCCTGCCGGCCGCCCGCTCCGCCCCCCACTCCCCAGGCCCTGGCCGCCCGCTCCCCCCTTCACGCCCAATGCCCGGGCCGCTCGCTCCCCCCTTCACCCCCGCAACTCCCCGGCCGCCCGCTCCGCTCCCCCCACAGGCCCTGGCCGGCCCCCGCTCCAGTTACCCCAGTCCGGCCCCTAAGAACCGCTGCCAGGCAACCACCGGCACCCGGGTCATGGCCCTTCCCCGCTGCCGTCCGACCGGCCCCAGAGCGAGGAGCCAAGGGCCCAACCCGACAGAAGAGGGGAAAGGTCAGCGTCGTGCATTGTGGCCTATGGGAGGAAAGATGGCGGCGCCCGGCTGGCCCTGTGGTGCGGTGCATTGTGGTCTCGGGGACAAAAGATGGCGGCCCCCATGCAGCGGGCACTGTGCGGTGCCGCGGTGCCATGGCGGTGGGCGCTTGGCCCTCGCTGGCTGGCCGCCGCGGCCGCGCCCCGGTGGCGGCTCGTGGGTGCGCTGTGTCTGCAGAGGCCGCCGAGCATCACGCAGGCCCTGAGCCCGGAGCAGGAGGAGATGGCGCAGCTGGTGCACCAGGTAGTGGGTTTGGGGGTGGGCGACCCTCCTGGGGCGGGGAGCAGGAAAACCCCCGGCGTACCTGGGGATGGGGCTGGAGTCGGAGCCGGAGCCGCCCCCGGCACTGGAGCTGGTCCAGATCTGTGTAGGACACATGCTGTGTTTCCCCCGGAGGAGACTGCTGCCTCCCCTTTGTCAAGCTCAGGCGTATCAGACCTGAGGAAAAGCAGTTTGTTGTGCCTCTGGGCTGGGACCCACCTGGAAAAGTCCCCTGTCTAAAATGCAAATAGTTTGTAAAGCACAAAGTTAAAACCCAGGTTAAAATGCCCCTTTGTAACTGTACTGGGGCAAGACACAGGCTGTGCCCCAGGAGTTTCAGCACTTTGATGCAGGAGTTGCTGGGTGAGGTTCCATGGGCTGTGACGCTCAATCAGCGTGTCCCCTTCTTGCTCTAAGCACTGTGACTCCGCTTCCATGAGTAGCGTTCTAGTGTATGGATGGTGTGGGGTGTGGATGGCGCACTAGGCATGTCCTTTGAGTCATGAACGCTATGTCCCCGGCTGCGCTAGTGGGAGCTGGGATCCCACAAGTGGTGGGGGTGACTTGTTGGGAAGAGAACTCTCCCTTCTGAGGCAGTAATGACTACAGTGCCTGGCTGTAGTTCTCAAAGGGGATATCCGCTATACGTCACATGGAGGCCATGTTACTGTGAAACCCTCAATTTTTGGATTTCCTGATTTATGTGCATTTAGATTCCAGACTACAATATTGTGCTAACATATTTTTTGTAGTGAGTACATAACTGTATTTACAGTGGGCTAGCATCTCCTTATGTCGTCAATATTAGATGTGATCTCTGCACAGTGTAACTTTAACCTCCTGGGGTAGAGCATATTATGTTCTGGGCAGAGACGTTATGGTCCAGCACAAAGAAATAAACGCAAGCCCTGTTTGGGGCAATAAAAAATTGCTTTATTCTCTACATGTGACCTTGGATAACAGCGCTAGTAACTGTGACCCATAGTGGGGCTCCTGATACTTGACAATTCTCTATGGTGTTCTTTCCAGATAGAGGTGGAGAAAAGCAACTTTTCAGACCATGAGATCCGTCGCTTGGCAGAAGAGGAGCAGCTGCAGAAGATGAAAGACAATATACAGGATGAGGAAGCGGACTCTGGGCAAGCTATTGTGTTGGCCCAAGACCTGGAGGATGCCTGGGAACAGAAATTCCAACAGTTCAAAGCTGGCCCACGAATAACAGGTTCTGATCCAAGTTCTCTCAGCTGAGCAGGAGAGGGATGGGGCCTCCCTGGTCTATCTGAACGTGGTTGACTTTGGTATAGTGGAGTGGAGGTGAGGCAGGGTGCTGAGCCTTCAGGAGGAGGGAGCTTCCATGGGACTCCCATGACTCCTTTCAGCTATTATAGGAGGAGTTATCTGGTCTGTGAAAAGAGCTGTGTTCTGTTCCTTTTCTCATAGAACCTTTGAGAGAGGATAAAGTATGGAGGCTAGTTATTCTGTCCTTATCAGAAAAACCATGACCAGCCTGACTCCCAGTTGTAGTTCACAAGAGCACACAATACTAGTGTTGTTTTTATGTAGGTCCTGCATAATCATTGACTATTAGTTATTAGGTACTAAGTTGAACAGAAACTTAAACTACTTGCTTTAAATGGTCTTTTTTAAAAAGAAGAGCATCTAAAGTGCAGTCCTGCTTTCACCTTTATGAAACATGACTGAAAATCAATGGATTCTGTCCAGATCCCCAGGTGGCACCTATTCTGTTGTATGTAGGTTCTTATACTTTGCTCATCACGATAGTATCTGAGTGCCTTCCAGAATTGCATTAAGTAACACGACTAACTTCTATCATATTCATATCATCTACCCAGTGGGAGAAGCATGTGTAGTGGAGTGTCTTGAGAACATAAGAATGGCCATACTGGGTCAGAACAATGGTGGTTCTAATCCATTATCCTGTCTTCTGACAGTCGCCGGTGCCAGATGCTTCAGAGGGAATGAACAGAACAGTGCAATTTTGAGTGTTCTATACCCTTTTGGGTAGTCCCAGTTTCGTGCAGCTGGAGGTTTAGGGGCACCCGGGGCATGGATTTGCGTCCCTGTCCATCAATGGCCATTTGCCAAGATGGTCCTATCCTTCATGAATTTACCTAATTTTTTTTTAACCCCATTATACTTTTGGCCTTCACAACATCTCATGGCAATGAGTTCCATAGGTTGACTGTGCATTGTGTGAAGAAGTGCTTCCTTTCTTTGATTTTAAAAAACAACAAAACCTGCTGCCTATTAATTTTGTCCGGTGACCCCCTAGTCCTTGTGTTATGTGAAGGGGTAAATAACACTTCCTTATACACTTTCTCTACACCATTCATGATTTTATAACCCTCTATCATATCCCCCCTTAGCTGTCTCTTTTCTAAGATGAACAGTCCCAGTCTTTTTAATTTCTGCTTGTATGGAAGCTACCATATCCCTAATCACTTTTGTTGCTCTTCTCTATACCTTTTCCATTTCTAATATATCTTTTTTGTGGTGGGGTGACTAGAACTGAATGGAATATTCAAGGTCTAGATGTACCATGGGTTTATATAGTGGCATTATGATATTTTCTGTTTTATCTATCTCTTTCCTAATGGTTCCTAACACACTGTTTTTGACTGTCACTGCATATTGGGGAGATGTCTTGTTTTGGTAGGTTTTTTTTATTATTATTATTATTATTTATTAATTAAATATACCTATTACTGTGGGTGTATGTTAGAAAAATCAATATCAAAGAAATGTGCCTTGCACTTGGAGTGGAAAGTAGTGAGGTTTGTGATGTTTCTTATTTCTTGGGGGAATTTATTCCACAGTCTTGGACCACCCCTGGAGAAAGTTCCTAGAGCTGATGAGAGCATTTGTACCTAGAAGCATCACTCGGAATTGTTCCATGTGTCCTTGTTGTCAGGGGTCTGAGAGACAGGAAGGCGTGGGCTCTGATGAGCTAGGTACTGGATGACCCCATCCCACTTGGAGCCTATCTGTCTCTGGAATCTGTTCTCTCTTGGCAGATGCTGATAAACGCAATGACCGGACATCTTTGAACAGGAAGCTGGATCGGAACCTGATGCTTCTGGTCAAAGAGAAAGTTGGCAACCAAGAGTTGTGGTTCCTTCCTCAAGCAGAGTGGCAGGCTGGAGAGACGTTGCGAAGCACTGCAGAGCGAGCTTTGGCTACTCTCTCGGGTAAGTCATCTGCTGTGCAGCTGCTGCCACCCCTTCCTGTCCTCATTTCTTTCTCTTGTGTCATTACTGGGATATTATCAGCTCATACTAGTAGAGCCCCATTATACTCCATTAGGATTGGCCAGAGAAAGGGCATGTAGTAGCAGATGGGGTGGGTTGAACCCAGTGGGGTCTCTGAGGAGAGTTGTGTCTGGGTAAAGTTGCTTAGAAGCCCAGGGGTATTGCCCATTGCAGGGAGAGTTGCTCTACATTCCAGCTCAGCTACTAGTGTATAGGCTCTCGACAGGGGGCACTAGGTGCCCCAAGCTATGTCTACACTTAAAGCGGCATGTAGAGTACAGGTACCACACATGCAGCGGCAGTGAAAGGCAGGCTGCGTCCACACTTATCACTGCAGTAGAGGCACCGCAGAGAGAGACGTCGGCAGTGGAGATGCAGAGGGACACACAAACTGCTTTTTTAAAAAAAAAAATAGCAGCATAGACAGGGGAGGTGCTGCTTAGTATGTAGAGAGCCTGTGTGGGGTGCGTACCCGGAGTTCAGGCATGTAGGGCACTCCACTCATCAAAGCCATGCCTCACCATCTACCCTGTCATTTATACCCCTGCAAGGGGGTGTGTGTGTGTGTGTTGTCTGTACTCTGCACACCACCGTAAGTGTAGACTTACCCTGTTGTCGGGGAAAGGGCTTCTGTCTCCATCACACACACAGCCCATTAGCAGCCTTTCTTGGCACGTAAAGCCTATCCTCAGCCAGGTCTCTTCTTGCTTCCCAGCAGGGGAGCACTGTGGAAGCCGCACAGTTAGCCTGACAAAGGGAGGGGGCATTTTATGATCCCCTGGACCACACTACCTCTGGCCAGTCCTTGCGTGGGGTTATTGAGACTCCAAAAAGGGTCCCTAAGAGGGAGGTACGGCACAGTGTGGACCTGTGGGAGGGGGTGTTCTTGCTAGAAAGAGATAACAGAATTGAACCAAAACTAAGCATGACGAGTCCTTTACTGTCCCACTGTTACCCCTTAGATGCGGCAGCTGCTGTCATTGTGTGACCTGATCTCTTGCTTTGTTTTCTTTCCCCTCTGGACACCCTTGGACCTCACAGGAAATTGCATCCAGGCCAAATTCCTAGGGAATGCACCATGTGGGCTTTATAAGTACAAGTTCCCCAGGGCCCTCAGGACAGAGGGCAGTGTGGGGGCCAAAATATTCTTCTTCAAAGCTCTCCTCCAGAGCGGTGATCTGCCCCAGGCAGAGAGGAAAGAAGACTACGTGTGGGTCAGCAGGGGGGAGCTGGGGGATTACTTGAAACCGGACTACCTAACACAAGTCAACAGATTTTTGATGGACCAGTGAAAGTCAGGGCTGTGCTCCAAGCAAATGGGGAGGACGCAAAAAACAACTTCAGACAGGTGCATTGCCTCTGTGTACAGAGAGTGGCATTTGAAGAAGGATCCAACCTCCCCCTTGTTTTCTGTTCCTCTTCTCTAGGCCTGTATCAAATAAAAAATATTAAAACCTCTGCTAAGTGAAGAGTGTTGTGCTTATGTTGCACCCTTTAATGCCCCTAGGATTCTCCTTTTCCCCCCTCCCAGCTGTGCCATTCCCTAGGTCTGTGGTACCTCTCTTCACTGGATCCCCATAGTAGCCTGAAGCTCAAATGGTCTCTCTGAAAAGCTGTACTCTTCCTTTAGCAGCTGTTCCTCAATAAAAGGAGCAGTGAGTGAGCTCCCTTTACTTGCTTAGGTGGGATGAGACACTGTTAGAGGAGTAAGAAGGGGATTTACCAATTAGTTGCATTGGGAAACCTGGCAAAGGACCATGTTTAAAGTTCCCCATTTTTAAACTCTGTGTCCAAGCCTTTAAGTCCTTAATCTCCTTCTGGGTTATTGTGGCCCCTCTGGGGAGGAGGCGCACCTGTCAGTGTGTGGGGGGAATAGCAGCCACCTGCTTCTCTAAGGAATTCAGCTTTCATTGGCCTGGAACGTGGGAAAGCAGCATCTTCAGTAACACACTGGTCCCTGTTGATGCAAATTGTACACACTGCTGAGTCCCATCTATCCTCCTCTTTAACCTGCCAGGGGGTCCTTTGACCTCTCCAGAGGCAGCCACTGTAATTTATCTAACGAAGGAGAACTGTTCTAGGCCAGTGCTGTGTATTAATTTGTGCCATCTATGCCTCAGTAGAAAGTATGTCTGAGTGGCCGCCACAATACGGTGGCTGAAGACAAACTGTCCTCTCAGCAAAGTGGAGCATCTGACCTTTATGCTCTGAGCCATGCCCCAGGAAATGTTCGTGCTACAGCTGAGGACTTGGCTTCTCTTCTATTTCTATCTGCATGGGAAATTCACAATGAAAGTCAAACTGCTTAAGTCACATGCAGCTGTTTCATCCCTGTCTGTGGCACTCCCGGGCCTTGTAAGGGTGCAGCAGCAGGTGGTGTGTTGGCCACGTACCACACAACTCTCTTTCTTTAGCATAAAGACCATCATGTAGCTTTCCTGTCACCATTTTGACAGGGCTTCTGTGAGGCCATTGCAACCCTCTAGTGCAGAGGTTCTCAAACTGTGGTCTGTGGACCACCAGTGGTCCGCGAGCTCCATTCTGGTGGTCCATGGGTAGTTCCCTCTCAGGTGCTCACCTGGGCAGCCGCACATGAGAGAATGAAGGGCCACCCACCTAATGAGTGGAGCCGTGCAGGCATGGCTCCACTAATTAGCTGCCTGAACTCTGGAGAAGACACACATGGTAAGGTGATGTGGTGGCCTTGGAATAGGGGGCAGGTGGGAGGGGGCAGTGGGGTGAGAAAAGGGGGTGGGGGAAATTTGGGACGTGCAGGGCTGTGGCGGCCAGAGAAAGAGGTGACTTTCCCCAGCTCCAGGGCTGCGGCTTCCGGGGAGAGACGGCCCTCCTTCCCAGCCCCAGCTCGGGGACTGCTGCGGCGGGGAAGAGAGGGCACATCCATCGTATTAGAAAGGTGAGACTACTGATATTAAAATGAGTTGTGTGTTTTTATTTGTAGAACAAAAAAAGTTTATTATTAAGGTTTTTATATAGTGGTTTTATCCAAAGCGCTTTACAATAGTTAGCTAAGGATACAAACAACATTTGGAAAGATCATTAAGTGGTCCACCGAGACCCTCAGCAATTTTCAAGTGGTCCGTGGGGGGGGAAAAAAAAGCTTGAGAACCACTGCTCCAGTGTGTGAGTGAAGCCTGACAGACTTAGAAGCACAGAAAGCAGAGCTGCTGCTTACACTCTGCCCTTACCTACTGTCCAGCAAGTATCTTCTCAGTCCCATCAGGAAGTTCAGCATTAGAGTTGCCACTTCACGGATAGGAGAAGGTATGGAGGGGACATGACTTATCCAAGGCCAGTCTCTGTCAAGCTGGATTTAGAAATTCCTGGCTCCCCATTCCTACGTACAGCTTGTTAGGCCAGAATTGCTAACCTTACTTGGTAGTGCCTCTGTTATTTACAGTGACTTCAGATTACAGGGTAGTGGGGTGATTTTTTTGAAGACTGTCCCATGCTTGCGGGGCTCTGCCTTACCCATCTCCCCACTGATGGTCTGATTTCCAAAGGCATTTTCTAACTGAAAGCTTTGCCGACTTTGGGTTAGGTATGGATCTGGTGCTCACTGTACTTTGTGGAGCAACAACCTTCTCAAGTGGCACAGGGAGAGAGGAGAAAGCAGTTCTGAATCATCTTGGGAGAGTCAGGGCTTCAGGGGACCAACAGGAGATTGCAATATGTATTTTGTCAACCCCTTGGGAACTGTTGAGCTGCAGGCTGCAAATTAAAGCTGTTAATCACCCATAAGCAGTCAGAGATGCAGCCTTCTGTTTTCTAAAGCAAGGGAATTTCAAAGCTTGTAATAAATTATATAAAAACCCCTCTCGTCTTAGATTGCCCTGGGAGGCTCAGTGGGGAGCTGAACCATCGCAGAGAGACTAGGGAGAGGGAGAGCAGGCTGCAAAGAGAAACTAAATAAAAGCAGAGAATGTGCCCTGGGTCTGTGAGCTTAGTTTGCCAAGGTCTGGTGACTCCAGCTTCACCGAAAGGGGCAAAGGGTTGGACTTCAGCCCGCTGTGATGCTAAAAGCTGTCTGCAGCAGGAGGAGATGGGCACTTCTTTCCATCCCTGCTAAGTACCTGTTTGTTCTCGGCCCTGGCCTGTCAGGCACACCTCACAGTGGGATGTTCCCGGTCTCCATGGCAACTGGAGGCAGACCGGATCTTTGTTCTCAGCCTGGGCTCAGAGCTGCCCCTCAGGAAGGACTGTTGGAGCTCGCCTCCACGCTCCAGAGCTCTCGTTCAGAAACCCTGCAAAGGCTTTTAACTAAATGTCTCTCTCTTCGTTGGCTTTGAGGTTTGTCAGAACAAAAAGAATTCCAGTTGGCTCTGAGGTGGTTTTGAAGGACAGCAGCTCTCCAGGACCCAGCTCCGAGCTGGCGGGTGGGTGAGGTCCATGCCCAAGCAGGTTGCGTGGAAGCTGCCTTCCCTGAAGCCAGGCCAGAATCAGTGGCAAGTTGTTTTTGTTTTGTTTTTTTCTTTCTTTTCAGCGCCCCCATATGGGATCCCTATTCCCACAGTTTGCCTTGCAAGCAGGAAAGTTTCATGGAACCGCCTGAATCCCCAGTGCTGAGAAGGCTCCAAAGCATCCCCTCTTCCCACAAGATGTTTTACCTGCAAGGCCTCTGCTGCCAGGAAAGATGCTAGCTCCTGTGACTTTTCTGCTACCAATGAGTTGTTTATCTCGAGAGGCTCCAGCTCACTCCTCATTCTGTGTGGTCAGGCCCTGCTCAGCCTGGACTCAGCAGCAGGGAGCAAAGGGTGATGCGGTGATTCAGATCCCCTTCCCTGGAAGATAGACCTACCTCCTTTCCCCTTTCAGCCTCCAGGGATCCCACAGGAACTTATATCATCTGTGGGGGGCACAGCAACAAAGCTGTCGTTGAGGCTATATACAAAGTAATATGTCCCACTCTCCTTCCAGTGAGATTATCTTCAAACTGATTTATCTCAGCAGGTGTTCCCTTTGAAACCTCTCTGCTCCTCTAGGCTCCAGCTTAGATTTCACATGAGGAAGAAGCTGTTACAGCCTTTCCTGAGAGGTGGAAGACTCGGGCTGGGATTCTTTTGTGGGGGGGGAAAAAACATCTAGCCCCATAAGCTTCTGGTGATTTTTTTGGATTTCCAAGTTTGGGCAAACCCTCCCTCTATTACCTTAATGATGGGCCCTTATCTGTGACTGACCCACTTACGAAAATGGGTACTTGAGATAATCGGGGAAAGTTATTCAATAGAGCTCATTTGTTGTCCAAAGTTTATCCTTTCCCCAAAGTGAATTAATATAAATCAACACTAGTAACAACAAGTCTCCTTGTAGAATCTGAAGATGAAGGGTGCAGAAGTCCATTTCCTACACATTACAATGACAGAACCAGTTTCACAGGAGACATATTTTGGAAAAGGCATAAGATTCTTTGTTGTACAAAGAAACAATAGCACACAGCCTATTTTAGATCTTGGGTCTTTCATCCAGGAGGAGATCAATATTCCATGCAGAAATACTGAAATCAGTCCTTACAGCATTATCACCCCCCAAACTCAGCAATATGAAAATACACCTCCAGGAGATATACTGAAGGTATGCACGGGGAGTCACTCGGGGATACTTTTAGGTTCTGCTACCACAAGAAGCATTTTCAATACAAAGCAGTCCCCTTTTGGACTCAACTTCTAAATGGATATACAGCCCAATGCTTCATCAACCTTCCTTTCAAGTGAAAGGGATACATATCTACCCTAGTCTGGATGACCTTATGCTAGCAATGGCTCCTGGGCCTTGTGTAAAAGCCTTCAGAAACAGGGCTTTGAGTGAACAGGTGGTAGGGCCAATTACAGCATGCTCAGAGCTCCAGAAACTAAATAATTATCAAAGACCAAATTTATTTCAGAAGAAAAACGGAAGAAGATAGTTCACCAAACATTAGCACACCTCTCTTAAGATTAAAATCTCACTCAACTCCTGGGCTAGCTGGTTTCATGTGGATACCCAGCACAATTCTTTCTTTGCTTCCAGACAGCAATTGCAGCAAATCAGTATGTAAACATCTTCGTCCAAATCCACTACTTGAATTCACCAAGAGATGCTTTCTTAATATTATTTACAGCTGTCTGGTGTTGGGTCCAGAGAAGCTGGTGATCAGTACAGATACCAGACCCCATGTAAGGGGCACATATCTGAATTCTTGTCTGTCTTGTGCGGGGGAGGGGAAGAGCTGAGGTCCAAGGAGGAGACATGGAGTATAACTTGGCACAGAAACAAAGGAATGTGACCTAGACCATCTCGCTGTTTGATGTACAGGCCAGGTTGTTTGGTTACACAGGCCAGGCTGGAATCCTGTTGATGGACCTATTTGCATCAAAGTCCAGTTGGAAAATTGAGGTACTACTATGTAAGAAAGAGACACTTGACAGTGAAGGCTGTTCTCCCCTTATCTCAGAGGTGGACTTAAAAAG